TAAAGAACATAAGGCTGTTGTTCAGTTGATAGATATATTCTATTTGGATTAGAGTTCTTAAAGCCTTTGAAGAAAGAGCCAGGAGTTTAGATACTACTTGTTCTTAACATTCAGAAAACAGGAGTGAAAGAGTCTAGTAAATTTATACCTAAAATCTTGTTTAACAAATATGGAAGAGACTTGAAAAGTACTCTGAGAAGTGACAGAACCTCTTTGCTATACAGATCAAGTCAGTAATTGTCTTCGAATGGAAAGTTCTGCATGACTAAACAATGAAAAGACAAATATGGGTAAATTGTTGGTAATTTACAGCTCCCTTCGCAGATTTAAGATTGTCCACTGATGCATGTTCAGAAGACTGTTTTGAATATATAACACACCTGCTGTAGCTTTTGGAAATCTGGTTACCTAGCTAGAGGATTATGAAGCTGACATTTACTGTATGCACAATTATGGAATATACAGTGTCACTGCTTTCAAATGTCACCTCTTTGCCACAGTTCTTATCTTGCAGAAAATGTCCTTGCCTCCCTTGAGAGAAGCAGTCTTATTCAACTAGTACCAATGAACACTGGCAAGATATTTACAAAAGCAATTAGCTCTTCTGAGTGCCTAATTTGACATCTTCAAAGGGTCTCACTTTAGGAATTAAGTTGTCAGACCTGTGGAGAATAAGCCCCATTATAAGGTCCACCTTGTCTCAAGGTGGCACCTAAAAATGTTACTCTTAAAAAGCTTTGGCTCTCTTTCTTGTCTATATTATCTTCACATATAATTCTTTATGATGACACAGAATGGAGGATAAACATGACATCTTACCCATGGGAGTTGATAAGGGCAATCTCACAAGAGTTTATAAGACGAGTAATAAAATAGACAGACTCCTTTTCTAAATACAACTAGTGCTAAGATTGACAGTCTGTGTTTGGCTTATACTAAGGGCAATTAATAATTTCTTTTTTTCTGTCTATACCAATATTTTCACAGTACTAATAGGCATTTACTATAAATTGGAGGTACCCTTTTCCATTCTTAACAGAGCTTGCCTTCATTTTGCAGCATTTGGCATTTTAAATTAAATACATAATTAAATAAACTAGTGGTTTATACCTCTCTTTATGTCAGGTTTTATTATAAAGGTTGATTCTATTAACTGTGTTGGAGGCTTTGAAAAAAAAAAAAATCACAATTCGTCATTTTTCATCCAAAACTTTTCTTCCTGGCTGTCATCCCTTCTGACTTGAATATTTTCTCCACTCCAACATTAAATTATGAGAGAGGAAGATCACTAGAAAAAGATCCTAAAAACTTCACATCAAAATTAATCTTACTCCTAGATATTTTGGAATGTGAATTCTTCAGGGAAATCTTTGTGAGAGATTGTATGTGTATGCAGCTACGGCAATGCAGAAATAGTTTTAAACAAACAAATAAAAATGAGCAAATTCTCTTTCTTTGTCTGGATATTTTTTTTTTTCCACACATGCAAAATTGACTCTTATGGTCACAGTTTCTTTGAACTCTGTTGTCTGCTCTACGAAAAAACTCCTTATTATAAACAGTGCAGATGGTTTCAGGGGAATTATTTCTGTTAGAATAAGCAGCAATTTTATTTGACCTATGAAGTCAACACTGAAGTGAAGCTTTGGTCTTAAAAGGGAACAACTGACAACTATGTTTTGGGTTTTTTTAAATGGAAATCCTATTAAATATTTTCATTTCATAACAGTGCCTACAGATATTCCAAGTCTTCTGCCAAGGAAACTTGTCTATTGAGTAAAACTTCACAAGGCCTTACAAAAATTTTCTCCACCAGAGGTGCAAAATCTGATTATTTTAGATCATATACAGAAAGAAGAATAGGTAGACATGCATAGTGCCTTTGAAATAATATCTACCATGAAGAACTGGTAGTGCTGAAGAATGCATCTTTACTACTAATGTGTACTGGGTAAAAAGTTATCTTCACAGGTTTCATTCTTTCTCCAGTGCCCTAATGTTCACTACATGCAGTTGTGGAAAAGACAGCAACATACATGGACTTGAGGAATAAAATACGGGAAAATTAAGTTGAAATGTCAATCACAGTTTGCTGTCATATACGGTAATGATGAAATAAAATAGTGACCTCTAAGAGGTTGCACTGTCGGTTTCAAGCATTAAGATGAGCCTGATCTCATTGTCAGCTATGATTGTCAAAAATAAGGTAGCAGAGACACTAATGTGAACCTCAGATGACAGTTCTATTATGAATAAGAGATGAAAAAAAAAAACAGTGAACATTCAAAAAGGGTTTTCTTCTGCTTAATTGGGGGCAGAATGACATTGCTTGACAAGGATTTTATTTAACAGGGACATTTAAAATGCTTCAAGACTAAATGTGACATGAAAATTATTCTATTGTTTATAGATTTACTGAACAAACCAATATAGTAATCACGACTATCTCTTACAATGGAAGTTTGATTTGAATATAGAAACAAGACCTTACTGTTACCTTTGGAAGGTTACCCAATTACTAATTGCAACAGAAAGATATCTTTCAATCTCTGCAGTCACAAAAAAACAATCTTATTTTTATACTCAAATTTTATTACAGCTTCTCCTTACTCACAGCATTCTGAATACAATCTACTTGTAGATTTATAATATACATGCAATCAAAGCTGCATCTTGAATTTGTATTCACGCATTTCAGATAACATTACCTTGGCTAATGTTACTGCAAATAAATGTGTAGCCATAGCAGCAGAGAACTCGATGCAGGCTGCAAAGCCTGACTGCAAACTTAGTGAATAATGCAGCTTTTTGTGCTGCAGTGGGCTCCGTGCTGCCTTGTATATGCTGCTATGTGTATTTGAACTTAACTAGCTTGACATAAATGTGCAAGCTGCAAATATGCCTTGACTGTTGTAAATAATTGATAAACTCGGATCAGCCATAGCTATTAGCTGCTTGAAATGATCTTCTAATGTGCAAAATCCTGATCACTGAAAATTAAGTGCTTTCTCCTGCTCCCTAAATAAACTAAAAAAGCTCCCCTGTTAGATGCTATTGAACCAAAACCTTGCCAAAGTACAACACTAAAACTATACTAATACTCTATTTGTGTCATAAAGTGCTCTGAATGGGAATTACAGCAAAAGCATACACCACAGTATTTACTGCAGTTTATAGCTTTTTGCAGTTAAAAAAACCTGTAACATTAACAGGTAGTTTTGAACATATATGTAATTCAGTTGTTAATTAAGAAAAATACAAAGTACCATGAACAGAAACAAAAAGAAATAAATATATCAATCATACCTATGTCAACAAAAATCTAGTCAAAATTATTTGTATTCTTAAGGTGTTAGAACATTTCCAAGATCTAGCAATTCCAATAGTATATTATTTTCTATCAGTTATGCAGCAGGGTTTTTCCTCAGCAAGAAATTATCTGACTTGATGGGCCTTGTCACAAGCAGAAAAAATACAGTTGGTAATTGTGAACACAGAAATAGAGTAGATTTAAACTTGACAAAAATCACACACCGTAACAGAAAAGAGGCGATCTGTTCAATAAAAGAAGAGTGGGGTAGGACTGAAAATAAAATAACATACCCAAGATGCTACCCTGGGATGCAGCATGAGAACCAGTACTCCTTTTAAGTCAGAAATATCAGCTGAACACTACCCGTGCTTTCTGGGGAGCTCAACAGATCATGAAGAGAAAAATGGCCAAACCAATGGCCAGCATTCCACTGTATTTACTATTCCTCCTTTTTTTTTTTCTTAGGCAGTCCATTTAGTTAAAGAAAACAATTTCAGTTCTCGGTTCTAGAGCTAAGTAGCATTGGCTTGCTCCTCTGTATTGCTTTGTTTTGTAGGGCTTTGCTTGGCCTCACAACCAAGTGATAGTTTGGTACCCTGAGGAATATCGTTCTGAGGATGACAATGGCAATGGTTTGAGAGAGTTCCTTCCTGCTTCCATTTATATTATAGCTATGGAGAAAGTGTATATTCTGGGTGCATTTCTCTCCTTTGCCATCCCCTGTAAGACATGGAGCCACTACTCTCTAGTTCCCATCTACGCTTGGGTCTCATTTGTATTCCACTTTTTTAGAGAAATGTCTTTAATCATAAAGACTAAAGCAGTTTTTATTCATTTGCTTGGTTTTGTTTTATTTTGAAACAGAAGAGATTAGCTAGAACTTGATGGCATCTGCGCAACGGATTGCTACACTCTGAATGATTTGGAGGACAGACATTTCAAGTCATGGCTTGTAATTCTTTTTGACTGCATGATGAGTCAAACAAGTTCATTCTAGGTATGAATCTGCAGTGTGTTTTAATAGAGTATATCTACTATAAGTGAATCTGTTAGTCTCAGCAGAATAAGCAGTAACCAAACCAGTTACCAGTTATCCCAAACAGTCAAAACCTATACAAAACCAAACAAGGAAAGTGCTTGAATTGCTGCTTGAGGAATTCTATTGGTCTCCACAAATTTTATTTTTGCCATGATAAAAAATTTAGTATTCATTTGAAATTTTAGGTTGGAAAAAACAGCAAATCAATAAAAGACTAAGCCAATACTTCTGTCTAATGCCATAACCCAATTTTTCTGAAGTGGGCTGAAATCACAGACTTCTTGCTTATAGAATGCATATATAATAAAAAATTACAGATAGTATTAATCACTTATTATACATATATACATGGAAAGGTTATTGGATATGTCTCTATATTAGACATAAAGTGCAAGAAAAAATGATACAGAGGGTAATACTGAAAAAACCCTGACATAATACATTGTTGAACTCAGAAACAGAAAATTAAAGAAACATTATCATTATAATTCTCGCTTTGATTGGCCATACCATTAACTTCAGTGAGGTTACTACGATCTAAAAATAAACTTTGATACTCAGGGTCTAGTATTCATTCTAGGTAGTATGCTACCTACATAATTTCTGATTTCCCAATAACAAAATTAATTACTAAAAGCAAATTCTCACCTACACAGACTTTGAATAGCACACACACGCACATACAAAAAGTTCATCTCAAAGCTGAACTTGGAACAACCAATGACCATATATTTCAGTCAAATAGACAAAAAGGTTTTGACAACTCACCATAATATAGACTAAGTTTAATACTCTGTTTGGCTCAAGATAGGAAGACATAACATATAGATATTGTGACAAGTGTCAACAAATCCAAAACATACTAATGAATTACTTAAAAACAAGCTCAGAGCTGCATTATCCTCTTACTGAGCTAACAAGACAGGTGAAAGAAAAGCTGAATTCATTTTAAAATGTCTTAGAATCAGATTGTGTCCAAATGCTCTATGGAAAAACCAACTTTGGTAAAACAACAAAAAATTCAAGAGTTTACTTTTACTCTTCTCTCCAAATCAAAATGTCTGAACGTCAAACTAGTACCAAATTATATCCATCTGAGGTACAAATCAGTCCCTCGGTTAGATTACGATTTTTAAGAATTAAAGTCCTGGGGGTTTATTTGGTTTGGTTTTGGTGTTTTGTTTTTAACTTAAAACATAAAACATGGCCCTAATGTTTGTCCAAATGCAGTTAGTTTAAAAACTGGAAACTATAGTGGCTATCCATAGATAGATAGATAGATAGATAGATAGATAGATTAGATAGATAGATAGATAGATAGATAGATAGATAGATAGATAGAATGGGTTGAAAAGAAGCAACATTTTACCTTATTGTTCTTACAAGCAAAACCACTTATATGATAAATTCAGATGTTATCTGTATATATTATTCAAATATCAATATGGTATGTGCTAGAAAAACACCTGTCAAATACACTTGATTCTTCTTTGAGCCAATTCCTATATGTAAATTAATTCTCCTTAAACTGTCCTTCTAGCTCTATTTTCTTTAATTTTTTGTTTAATAATGCCAAATTCTGTATGTTCTTTTTTTTTTTTTAACTATAGGCACTTAAGAAATAAACACTTAAACATGAGTTATAAATAATATTGCCAATTTGATGGCATCTGCTTTATAAAATCTGCAGTGCATTTAAATATCAAAGGAAAATACATTCTGCTTAAAAAACTAAGAAAGGAATTTTTTTTCTTTATAATTTTCAATTAAAAAATTTTCTTTAATGGAGGTACTACATATATAAACTTTTTCCTGAAACCACTAGTTATGAGACACTGAAAACAGCCACACTGGACTCCTCAAGCTTAATTAAAACACAGCTAATATAATAATATTCTGTAGATTGTCTAACAAAGCTAACAAGCACCCACACCCTCACTGTAACTTTTCACATACGAGCAAGTCCTACTGACTACAGTGAGATAGTTCAGGAGTTTAAGAATAAACATATGCATAAGACTCACGATCAAAAATTGGAGAACTATTTTACTATGAAGTAACATTAATTTACTATTACTTTGCTGATACAACATCACTTTTGAACTATAGTGGTAAATGATATATAAACCATTCCAGTTATAGTATCAAGAAAACAAAGACAAAGGAAAATGGACTGAATGCAAAAAGTTCTCTGGTTCAGTATCATAAGCACTTAGCAACATTTAAAATGTTCCACAATCTCTGCTTTTTGTTATAGTTCCACAATCCATTTAAAAATCCTTGCATAATTGTTTTTAAGGATTATAAAAGTACTACATTTAAAAACATAACCAAATTTTAAATAAATAAAAACCCCATAAAAGAGCTTTGCAAAGTAAACAGTAAGCACAGTTTCAGGATATAATATTCAAGTGATTCTTAAAGAGCAGGTTCTAATACGGTTTCAGTATTCCACTAATGTAGAAAACTGAAAAAATCCCAGCAGTCATTTGAAAGCACAGATCAACCACATAAGCTAAGAAAGAGCATGCAATTCATGAATATGATTCATTACCATGGTTACAAGCTTTCAGTACAGGCCGCTGTGTGGTTGGACTGATATTTTGTGGTATGTCTGCAAAAAGTAAGGAAACAATGGAAATAAAACACATCTTTGAAAGTCACTAGGGTATCGTAACAACACTACTGAGCAGAATTATCTAGAAGTTAGATATTTCTTGGAGAAATAATTTGATTCAATTATGGGGCAAGATTACTTACTTTCCCCATTCAACTATAAACCCTAACAAGTTTAAGTCCATGTGCCTGTATTGAAGAGTCATGTCATAATAATCAGGCTATGCTAAATTCAATCAATTAATCTCCAAAGTGCTATCAACATCAGCAAAAAGCCTGAGCCTCCCTGAAAACTGTCACTGCAAGACAGAATTAAACCCAATAGCATTTAAGTTCTAGAACACTGGACCCATCACACTTTTAACTTTCTCTGGAAAGCAAAATGTAAAATATTCACCTTTAGACCTTGGTATCCTTTTCCTTCGGTCTCGAAAAGCTGCACCTGATTGCAAGGCCTCCAACAGGCTATCCATCACTCCAGTCTCCTCACCTTCTGTAAAGGAGAGATAAGGGACCCTCGAGGTTACCATTACAATATCAAATCATAAATAACAACAATAAAACATATAATTGGCATTATTAAAACTATTTATTTCAAACTTAAGACTAAGGTTTTAACATTCACATATTGCTCTCTTGCAAGTAATCACAACAGATTTGGTCTTCCAATCATTGAACTAGGCCAAATTTTATTCCATTCATTTCACATTCCACTTTCTCTATAGTGAGAGTCAAGCATAGTTTTAAGCGAAATGCCATTTCATCCATATTTTCATTTCAGTACCCTTTTGCAACTGCAAATAATCAGTTTTATGTCAGCTTTCAATAACTGTCCCTTAAATGATCCGCTGTATTAGACAAGATCATATCAGTTATTGTTATAAAAAGTTGAAATTGTTTCTCAGCAGGAAGCTGAATTAACAGTATTGGACTAGATGGGATACAGGGTGATATCCATAGGTAGTTTTAATCAAAAGACATTTTCCCTTCATATTTAATAACCTCTGGCCAATATTAAATAATTGATGTAGTTCAGGAAAATTCTGCTCATCATATTACACATGTATGTTTAATATCCCCTGAAAGAATTATGAATGTTACTGTGAGATTATAATTAAATGCAAGCATTAAATGCCCTACTTTTATTTCCTCAAATAAACACATCAGAAAATATTAGATTTTTGAACCTTGTTAATCCCTTGTGTCTATGCCTGGGAGGACAAAGAACACAACTCCAGGGATTTACTATATGATGAAAAATCACTACAGAGTAATAAAGAATTACATGACAGAAATCTCATTATGTCTCACTGGGCAAAACTCCCTAGGCCAACACACACCTTGGATACAGTCAGACACATCACATGATTTGGCAGTAATTGCTAACAGTGAACATTCAAATCAGGGTTTAATTATAATATATGTATAATGAGATGCCAGGCCACTAATTTAAGGAATTCTGAAAGTGTTGGACTACAAGTAAGGAAGCAAGACAACCTTCTAGACCTGAATATGGGCAAAAATTATTATGGGAAATGTTGCTTTCCAACCTATTTCTATTTCTTTTCCTTCTTTAAATAAATTACACCTTTCAATAAGCTTTAAAGAATTCTAGCATCTTTCTAGGGTAAGTGGTTTCAAGGGCAACAAAAATAATTCAGACAAAAAAAGTTCAAAGTTGCAGAGAGGAAGGTCTGACAAAGTACTGTCAAATCAGCATGGGCTGAATCATGAGTATGACGCTCCAGAAACAACATTTTTACCGTCATTATTCTACTGCTAAGTCAAGAGTTGAATCTAATTTAGCTTTTGAGAACCCTGAGCCTGAATATTATTTAAAAGCAGAAGAGGAAAGCATAATAAAAAGGAGCACAAGATTTTGGGAACTGAGATATACAAATCATTATTTAAAAAATAAAAAAAAAAAAAATTGTCTCAAAATTTGAGCTGTCCTCTCCACAAATTAAAGAAAAATGTCATTCAAATATAATTTAAAGTCACATAGTGGTAATCTTCTTATAAAATAATAAGAGTTCATATATTCAAAAATTCTGCAGAAATACACATATAAGCATATGTAAAGCCCACAACAGATGTTCTCTAACATTGACTCAAATTTAAATTAGATTTTCATAAACATTTTTTACATTTTCTCTATTATACCAGCAACAAGTATATTATTTACAGGAGGACCAAAATTGTATATTTTAAAATCTACATTACAAATTACATTTAATTAGCACTTCTGTTGCTTTTGCTTGCATTTTTACCTATTCTTTAATTTCTGCTAATTCCACATGTATATTTATGCTTAGAAAATGATTTTGTTTAATTTTTGGAATTTCCTAAAAATATCCTCCAAGGAGCATCCTCTTCCTTCCTTGTATTATTTGATTTGGTGCTCTCCCAAGATGCCAGTCCTTAAAAAACAAAACTGCAGTCTGAGAACACCCTTAGAATCATAGAATCATTTGGGTTGGAAAAGACCTTCAAGATCATCAAGTCAAATCATTAATGTAACACTGCCAAGCCCACCACTAAACCATGTCTCTTAGCACTACATCTACACACCTTTTAAATACCTCCAGGGATGGTGTCTCAACCACCTCCCTGGGCAGCCTCTTCCAATGGTTGACAACTATTTCAGTGAAGAGATTTTTCCTACTATCCAATCTAACCCCCCCCTGGCACAAATTGAAGCCATTTCCTCTTGTTCTATTGCTTGTTACTTGGGAGAAGAGACCAACATCCATCTCTCTGCAACCTCCTCTCAGGTAGCTGGAAAGGTCTCCTCTCAGCCTCCTTTTCTCCAGGCTAAACAATCCCAGTTCCCTCAGCTTCTCCTCATAAGACCTGTGCTCCAGACCCTTCACCAGCTTCATTACCTTTCTTTGGACATGATCCAGCACCTCCATGTCTTTTTCATAAGTGAGGGGCCCAAAACTGAACACAGGAATTGAGGTGTGGCCTCACCAGTGTCGAGTACAGGGGTAAGATCCCTTCCCTAGTCCTCTTGGCCATGCTATTTATGATACAAGCCAGGATGCCATTGGCTTTCTTGGACACCTGGGCACACTGCTGGCTCCTGTTCAGCTGGCTGTTGACCAGCACCTCCAGGTCTCTTTCTACTGGGCAGCTTTCCAGCCATTTTTCCCCAAGCCTGTAGCATTGCAGGGGGTTGTTGTGACCCAAGTGCAGGACCTGGCACTGAGCCTTGTTGAATCTCACACAATTGGCCTTGGACCATCACTCCAGCCTGTCCAGGTGCTTCTGTAGAGTCCTCCTACCCTCAAGCAGATCAACACTCCTGCCCAACTTGGTGTTGTCTGCAAACTTGCTGAGGGTGCACTCGATCCCCTCATCCAGACAGCTGATAAAGATATTACAACATTGCTACAGTGATAGTATGAGTCACAAATATTGTTCAATATTAGCACTTCTTGTGAGACCATTAAATTGGCTTTCAGAAGTTACTGCAGACTGCTGTCACCAGTCCCAACTGTGTTCCTAATTAGTCAAATGTATCAATTTTTTGACATCCTAGAACTAGTACTTCCAGTTGGCTTGCAGATACCTACATAGCCCACAATAATTCCTTTGAGAAATATACCATTTTACGATCTAAATGATCTCTTTTCCTTCAATTGTAGAGTAGGTTTAAATACTTTTCAATATTATACCTAACTAAAACTCATACAACTGTCTTTTAAATACCATGTAAAGCAGAAGTAAAGTTGCCAAAATAGCTGGTAAGATTTGCCCTTGACATTTCAGTGCCAAGTCAGATATAAACTACCTAATTTCATAATTACATCTTTAAAAATGTTAAGAATATTAGAGAACCTTCTCTAGTGTGCTGAGTATCATAAGCTTTACAGTACAACTTTAATAAGTCTTAGGATGACGGCAACAGATACTGCAGTTAGAAATGACTCCTGCATTTTATGTATTTATTAAGGAACAAATGATCTATACCAAAATTCCAGAAGCAGCAGTCCACTGACATGATAGAATCACAAATATCTTCAGTAATATAGTTTTAAAATAAGAGTGGTGCAACAAGATTATTTTGGATGAAAAATGTTTCATTTTTAAAGTTCCCCTGCATCTGTCCAATATAAACTAAACCATCACACTCAACACTAGGACTCCAGAAGTTCAGGTCACCAGGAGAAAAACATATAATAATATATCTATTTCCTCTTTCAAGGAATCAAAGCTTTATTCAGCTACTCCATTTGAAAAATTCTCTTTTTTAAATGAAGGAAATAATGAACTTCAGAAAAAATCCAAGAATTCTTTAGTACGTTTTCTGTTGATGTTGCCTACTCAGTCTGTACACTTAAGAGATTTATCTACAGGGACTTCAGCTGTCATTCTTCCACCAGGATCTATTTATAGCATTGCAATTACATATAGTTTTTTGTTACACCGTAAGTAATGCAAAGGATCAGCTCCTAAAGCCAACCTTTGAATGTTAAGCCTCATTTGAAATTGAAACTGCACAATTTGGACAAATGTATACCTTAAAAACAGACCTTAATATTTCATAGCTGTAACAGAAGGAAAAGGGTGCAAAAACTTGAGGACTACTCAAGTTATCTGAATTAGCAAAGAGTTTAATTATCTTTATATCATCTCTGAAGTAATTCCATGGCACCACTCAAGTTTTTATATAATTTAAAAACAAACTTGGAATGCTGAAGCTATTGGATTTGTTTCTCTTGTCTGAAGAATTAAGTCCTGATCTCACAATTCAGTAATTACCAGAATGAATTATATCTTATTCTTCTTTGACTAGAATATAAACTGCTTTTTTTCTCTTCAGTTCAGGTTATAATTCAGGTTGGATATACTGTACTCAGGTTTTGATCAAGTGAAATTTAATCCCTTCACATACTTCTGCCAAGTTTAGCTACAACATGTCTTGCGCCTTATTGCACAAAAATTTCTGAGGCAAGTGAATACCAGGCTTGGGACAATGACAGCAGAGATTTTTCCAGACTATTTACACAAGGTGAAGAAGGAGAAAAAGAAAGATACAACTTTTAACTATATTAATGTTGTATCTTCACTTTCAAGACATAATAAAAAGTCCTGTATTTTTGTTTGTACAATGATTAATTTTGACCACTACAGCCTACAAAGCTGACTAAAGGTCTCCACCTGAGTAAAAATTGAAGGACAACATCATAAGAGGAAATCTTTAGCAATGGTATAATGTTGAGTGACTTGAGCTCCAGGGGGCAAAAGAGCAGATCACAGTAAGAAGACATCAGTGAAGAAGCAAGTGCCCATGTTTTGGAAGTGGTTCCATCTTTTCAGTCTAAGTCTCAGGCAGCCAGGTTCTGTGAAGTATTTATAGTGCTGACACATAAAAACTTCTAGACCTCTCAGCCTTATACATGAACTAGTCAGGAGATTTTTTGAAGTCTTTTATATTGTCAGAATAAAAATGTAAAGCAAACTTAATGTCCAGAGAAAGAACAGTTT